AAACAACAAAACACGAATCCTTGGTGGAAATATTCTAAGCAAAGTTTGAAGACTCACCTACTCTTAAACAGTAGTCCAGGATTTAATTAATCCCCAGCATTTGTCAAGGATTTATTTTTCCAGACAAAGATAAATTCAAATAACATTTCACCCTTCATGCATCATATTACATACATGACAAGTGCATACGACACAATCTCATTTATTTTGAGAACATCATTGCACCATGTATTTCATACATCATGAAATTGCATACAGCTAACGTTTTACCTTTTTCAGGAAAAGGTTAATCAACAGATGGCTATTGTCAATAATCTTCAAAAGGTAAGAAATTAATATATGTAACCATCCAGGGAAATTATCTACGCGACCAGCTAGAGCAATCCTACACGGGCTCCTTCCCATACACTCTTCTAGAAGCAGTTCAGATGCGATCCAGATACGACTGACATTCTGACACTTATTCCAGATTCCTTCTAGAAACAGTTCAGATACGATCCAGATATGGCTAACATTCTGACACTTATTCCAGATTCCCTTCTAGAGACAGTTCAAATGCAATCCAGATATGGCTGACATTCTGATACTTACTCCATATTCTCTTCTAGAAACAGTTCAGATATGATCCAGATACATATATCAGTGTGATACTTCTTTCAGCATACCTTTCCAATACAGTCCAAATACGATCCAGATATAGATATCATTCTGACACTCATTCAGTACATCCCTCAGATACGAGTCAGATACAATTCATTTATGAATATTATTTTGATACTCATCCAAGACCTCTGCTGGTTCAGTTTAAATCTCTCAACGGTTTATCCTGATTCTTTCTGGTGGACATTTTCTCTTTTGTCTGGTTTAGTTGAATCAATCCTAAGATTCTTATAATTTCTATTCCAATCAAAGTTAATTAAAGACCTTCTTTGGTTCAGTCAGATCGACACTAAGATCTCTCCGATTTCTATTCTAGTTGAAGATATTTCAAGACTTTTGTCTGGTTTAGTTGAATCGATCCTAAGATTCTTCTGATTTCCATTCCAGTCAAAGTTAATCCAAGAACTTCTCTGGTTCAGTCAGATCGACACTAAGATCTCTCTGATTTCTATTCCAGTCGAAGATGATCCAAGACTTTTTTCTAGTTCAGTTAAATCGAAACTAACATTCTTATGATTTCCATTCTAGTCAAAGTTAACCCAAAACCTTCTCTGGTTTAGTCAGATCGACACTAAGATCTCTCTAATTTCTATTCCAATCGAAGATGATCCAAGACCTTTACTGTTTCAGTTAAATCAACACTAAGATTTATTTTGATTCTTCTCTAGACCCCTGCTGGTTTAGTTTAAATCTCTCAATGGTTTGTTCTGATTCTTTCCCGCGGACATCTTCTCTGGTTCAGATAAATCGCTTCAAGATTTATGCTGATTCTTCTCCAGACCCCTACTGGTTTCAGTTTAAATCTCAACGGTTTATCCTGATTCTTTCCTAGTAGACACTTTCTCTAGTTTAGATAAATCGCTCAAAGATCTATTCTGATTCTCTCCAGTTAAAGAATACCCAAGACCTCTTTTGGTTCAGTTTAAACCGCTCAATGGTTTATCCTGATACTTTCCAAATAGACATTTTCTCTAGTTCAGATAAATTTCTCCAAGATTTATTCTGATTCTTTCCAGTCACACAACATTCAAGACTTCTCCTAGTTTCAGTTTAAATCGACCAAAGGTTTACTCTGATTCATTTCCAAGTTGAAGTCAAGTTCATACTTAGTCTAATTTCTGTCAGCAATCACCTTTTGATGGCATCTATAAGCCCATCTCCGACAACTCTCCATCGTTTCTCCAAATGGCATCTTTAAGCCCATTCCCTAAATAATCAACCAACACATCACCAAGTGCAAATTTCTGGGCACTCTAGTGTTCAATCATCTTCCACTTTCAAGCTACGAACGACAAACATGCCGATCTCACTTTTCAAGTTTAAGAAGATTGAATAGGGGCAGCTGTTGTACCCCAAAATTTTCCCTCCTGTTTTTCATTCAAGATACTACCCTAGGGTTCCTCAAGTACTCAATTTGGCTCAGAAATTGATCAAACAGATTCTCTTCCTAGGTATTGAGTCAGCAATTAGGGTTTGATATTTATTAGAGAAAATTGAGTCTTCAAGGTTTCAAATGGTCTTCATAGATCTTGATGTCTCCTCAAGAATGTTTATGCCAGTTTTCAAACTTTGCTTTGCAAGTTTGCTCAGTCGATGGCTCAGATGACTGAAAATGACTACATTGACCCAAAAAATCGACCTTTTGCGAGATCAAGTTCAAATGATTGTAACGTATTCATTATTCAATACTTTTGAGCGGTTCTTCTTGCGTATGACTCTCCTTGACGTCATCTCCAATTTCTCTTCACAAATCAAGAGCTGATTACGTGTGGAAGATCACCAAAATTTGAATACTTTAGAGGTTGCTTCATGGACTTTGACATAATCTTAAGTAATTGTCTCCTGATTTCTAAGAATTATGATTTCCTCAAATCCCAAGATCTTGAGACGATTATTTCTGCATATTGTCCTAAGTGATGTCGTTTACGAGTTTATCTTCAAAGATCGAAGGAAAAATTGTGTTTGGAAGACTTTGAAAGTTATCGAATCATCGCAAGTCATTTGTTGGATTTCAAATATTCTTAACTCCTAATCTCAATTCATACCAAAATTGTTTTCTCAGGACTATGATTCTTATGTTGAAGTTTGTTAATTTTACAAGATTGATGAGTTTTCTTAAAGCATATTGTTTTAGCAATAAAATTCCATTTGAATCGAGCATGGCGTGCGAGTTTATTTTAAGTGCAAGTTTCATGGAAACAAGAGGGTACAATGTTCAAAACATGTCTGATATTATCAATCAAACTTCACTCAATACATGTGCAAAATCGCGTTGATTCACTAATGTGTCATTTTCCTTCAAGCTTTTGAGATAAATGAGTTTACACAAGTAAATTTCGAGTTTCTATCTCGCAAATTATTCAAAGTTGTTACATTTACTACAAGAAATTTGAAAACTTCAAGATTCATCAACTTATGTTACAAAGATTACAAGTTAATACAAGCTACAAATTTTGTTTTGTTTACAAAGAAAGAAATATTGTTTTGTTTCTTCAAATCTTATTTGCTTCATCTTCAAGAAACCCATCCACTCCTTGCTAGCCATGGTTTTCTCTTCACCTTGCCTCGCTTGCCATCGACTCCTCGTGTTCATGAAACAAGAAAAGGAAAATTAGCAAGCAATCAATATATGAAAAATTCAAGCAAGAATGATTTGTAAAAAAGGAAAACTCATCATTAGGATTTGCATTTGGAATCAGAACTAAAAGGTTTTGTTCTTAATCATGGTTTATCTCCTACTTTTGCAAATCACAAAATTTTGATCTTTTTGGTTCACAAAAGGGAAAAAGAAATTTGCAAACATTACAAAAGTAAGGTCAAACTCCAAACAAAAGCCAGCAATATCAGCCCAAAAGCCACAGCAGAGCAAACAACAAAACAACAAGCAAGCTGCCTAAATGCAGCAAAGCGGTAGCACAAAACAGAACAGCAGGGCAAACCTGCAACGAAATATTGCAGCAAAACAGCAGTTGTTGTAAACATTGCAAACTTGCAGCCAAGCTGCCAAACACATAAAACAACAAGCAATAGCAAAAAAAAAAGTAAAATCATCCAATATAAAAACAGCCAATCTAGCTCATGGTCAAAACATTATGTCATCATATTCCTAAATGTTACAAATCATTCAGAATTTCAAATAAAAAAGCAAAATTCTTTGCATCATAGAAAGATGAAGAGGGAAAGAGAAAGAGACAGAATGATATCACCTAAGCATATCACAGTCCCAAACCAGCAAAAACAGACATGCTCCAATAGTCCAAAGTCTGCTACAAACCTATCCACAAACAGTCCAAATGTTGCACAAAATTGGCAAATAAAAAAATTGCATTGGAAAGCATTAAGACAGTTAGCCAAATATGTTCAAATGTAATAACGCTTCCCTCCCAGTTTTACTCCACTTGCATATATGAGAGAGATTGTTGATATGATGAAAGGGGGGAGACACAAGATCATTTGTTACAAAACAAAACTCAGGGGACACAAAAATACAAAAAAAAAATCAGAAGAAAGAAAATTAGATAGAAAACCAGAAGAGAAAAAGTATTGAAACACTGCTAAATTTTCTTCAGCTTCCTCCAAACACATCCCAATAGAAACAACTCACAAGCTTGCTCTGTTCACTGCAAATTCGCAAACCTGCAATCTCACTGTTCAACATAACACTATAACTTCTAGCAACTCACCTCATCACATACTTCTTGTTATGTGTTCACCTAAATCTGTGGTTCCAAGCGTCAACAATACTGTAGAATCTGCAGGGCTTTCAGAATCATTTCCAGATTTCAGGATTTAAACCCAGAATTAAGAAGAACATAGGAGCAGTTTACCTCTGGTTTTCTTGATTCTCATCGGCATCAGATAACTGTTGGACTTGCTCCGACCTTGTAAGCTTCTCTTTCTTTGCTCTCATTTGGATTACCATGATGTATTGTTGTTGTTTCCTATGAGTATTTGCAATGAGATTTTATTGTCGTTGTTATTAAACCGCAAATAATCGTGAAACACCTTAAAAGGAATTACCAAACGAGCATAAGAAGAAAAGTGCACAAAGGATAACACAGAAAATAATACAGTAAATAAAGAGAAAAAAACATACCCCTTCTCCCTTAAACCCTAATCCCCTTCTCATCTTCTTCAAAATGTCATTATCCATCGAACAACCCATCTCCAATTTCACCCTAACCCAATCCATATACGAAGCAGCTTTAATCCTCGCAGTCCTAAGATGGATCCTATGTTTCATTTTCAAAATAATCAAAAATAGAAACACACCACAACAACATAGACAACACCAACAATAATGTTGTCAAATGTTACTGCTAACAAGTTTCAACGAAATCATGGAAAGACATCCGGAAACACAAGATTCTTCTACTACATGTGCTGTTTGTTTGAACAAAATGAAAATGGAAGACGAGGTTCGAGAATTGATGAACTGTTGCCATAAATGGTTGGAACATGGTTATGAGAATATTGACAATTGTAATCAGACTTGTCCTCTTTGTAGAGCTCCTTTGATTACTACTAGTTATTATGTTTCTTCCGAGGTTTTGACTGCTTGTGTTTCTCCTAACCAACCTAGTTGGGTTGTTGAGAGACTTCTTTATCTCTTTGGTAATGATAACAATTAAGCCAATTTCTTTTCCCAAAAATGCCAGCGGCACACGACTTGTGTCAATAGGGTTTTCATACCCCTTCTTTCCAACTCAACGAAACCGGGTTTGGGCTTACCTCTTTGGCCCAACCCATTTCCCAAATCTTGCCTTTAGTATGTACATAAGCATTAAAATGCATGAAGGGTCAATTGGTGCAGTGGTTAAGGCGTTGGTATTTGGAGGAAAGGTCCCGGGTTCGAGACCCCTCGAGGTCGCTTTTCATTTTCTATTTTTTCTTCATTTTGTTGGACAAAAAAGATAAACACAAAAAACAAACTTTTGGGCCTAACAGGTTAGAGCCCAACACTCCAGTTTTCAGCACCCTATTTTTCTTCCTGCACCCTCTAGTCTTAATTATTGTAATTTAATTTTTCTTTTGGTTTACTAATTAATTTACTTTAACTATTAGTTTTTATATTTTCTTAATTAGTTCAATTGTTTTTTAAATTTAGTTTAAGAATTTTTTGAATATTTAATTTTGTTATTTAACATTTTGTTTTTTTAAATGTTGTGTATTTATTTTCTTTTAACTAATTTATTTTCTTCTTGATAAAAAAAATATACAAATGATTTAATTTCTTTAGTCAATTGTTTTCTTTAAGAGAATAGAATTTTATTTTTCTTTCCAAACTCCTCATAAACAAATACCAAGAATTTTATTTCCATACTTTGTTAATTAATTTTTACTTCATAGATTGTTGTAGTTTTAATTAATCGTTCGATTCGATTTGATTGTATTGATTGCCTATTTGGACTTTTGATCGCATTGATCCATCCCTATTTGTAAATTTGTACCCCCATTCTCGAAATCTCTGTAATAGCGTAGAATTTTAACTTCCGCAATTTACGGTTTTCCTTATATTGTATAGTAATTATGTGTGCATAGCAAGATTTAAAATCAATCGCTAGATAATCCTAATCAAAGAAAAACTTAACTTGAATCTAACACACTTTTCACACGCGCACCTCTATGGTAACCTCTCTTTTTGCCTCGGTAAAACGATCTAGTCCCTTACAAAAAATTGCTAAAGCATCTCACAAGTTGCCTTCTATGACTGTACGATTGACCTGCGCCTATCCCTTTACATCCAACGATGGGGATTCTTACTAAATCAATGGTAAGATAGCAAAATCTAAAGGAGGAGGAAAAGAACATCTAAGACCTTTTGAGTAGGTAGATTCACTCCTAGTTGCTCGCTTGCTCACAATAAAAACATTTTATACACCATCACTCTCATCTTGAAACATTTTCAAAAGACAAACACTTTGTACGCGTTCTTATAGAAACGAGAGCCATTATAAAGAAGACACCTTTTCAAAATCACTTTCAAAGACACATTCCACAAACACCTCTTTGAACTATTTTTGAAACAACACTTTGTACACGTTCTTATAGAAACGAGAGCCATTACAAAGAAGACACATTTTCAAAATACTTTCCAAACCTACACCACAAGCACATTCAAACAAAAGCAAGTGATCTAGCAAGCAACTAAGAGCCCGTAGATAACTACAGATGAAAAGGGTGCTAATACCTTCCATTTTCATAATCTACCCCCCGAACTCAGAAAACATCTCTAAAGGTCTTTCCTGTTCTTCAGCCTTTCCTTATTGGATAAAAGAAAAGTCGGTGGCGACTCTTGCTATCCGCATAATTGCGATCAAACGCAAAAGGACCAAGTCAATTCTCCCACCGCGTTACAAGCGGGATGCCTTAGTTTTTTTCTTAAGTCTCCTTCATAGGTTTTGACTTAATGGGCTTTTCTTTTGAAAAATAATGATTGCCTGCTTTGATGATTATGCGGAACCATCACCGTCTTTTGATTTGGAAGGACGTCTTTGATGCCATTCATTTTGTACGAAGTGGAAGATTGCGACTGAATGCGCATCTGAATTGACTGAGAAACTACCCTGCCCCAGGTTATGATTAAGGGTTTTAATTTGCGTGAAAAGAAAAACTCCCACTTCTTTGGCTCAAAGGGGTTGACTAGGGATTATCTTCCTTATATCCAATGTTTTGGATTTGAATCAATGTTTGTACATCGTCAGCAAGGTCTGTTCAAAAGCACATTGTATGGATTATGGTATCGTTTTTGTCATCCTCCCTCTAAAGGCTTAGAGCTTTTGATCGAGAGTTGAATATTACAAAAAGGAAGTAAAACACAATTTAAGTATAGTGATAACGAATGAAATAATTCAAGACAAACATATACAATGCATTAATGAAATAATAAAGTTTGACATGAATAAGTGTTCGAACAAATCAAAAGACAATTACAACTTGAAAATTCTAATGAACAAAAAGCCTTCTTGTCAGAACTTGTCACTTTAGATGATGTGCCTTTGAGGAATGGCAGAAGAACTTCAGTTGACCATCTTGTGTGAATTCTAGCACTCCTTCGTCAATCAGGTCTTGAATTTTATTTCTCAATGTCCAACAGCTATTGGTGTCATGTCCAGGACTGTTGGAGTTGTACGCACATCTTGCATTTGGATTGTACCTTGGGGAGGCTGTGTTGGGATTCTGAGGAGGGTCCTTTAACATAACCAGCTTGGCCTCCAACATGTGTTGCAATGCTTGAGCCAATGACATATTGATTTCGGTAAAGCGTCTTTCACATGTATTCCGCTTACGCTGATTGCCCTGTTGTTGTTGGCGAGGTTGTGGTTGGGCTTGGGACGTAGCAGCAATTTGGAAAGGTCTACTCTCCAAGCCAACTTTTTGTCCCATCAAGGGTTGATGAATGACTTGACCTCCAGCCTCGACTGTTTGTTTCATACGGTTGCATCTGTCTTGATGAAGCTTGTTGACAATGGTCCTCAGCTCTTCTTGTCCCCGGGCTAGGCTTTGGATAAGAGCCATCTGCCCCAACATTTGGATTCTCATTGCTTCCATCTCAACCTGCAGCTGTTCAACTTGGTCATCCTTGTTGTTATCAGGACATTTCTTGGTCAGATTCCCAGCGATGAGTGATTTCAATTCTTCCTGCCCCTTGGATAGGTTTAGGAACATTTACATGAACTGAGCCTCTTGAGTTTGAAGATCTCGGTTGTCTTGTTGGAGAGCCATTACTGTAATAAACAGCGAGAACATGATAGACCTATACAAGAGCCTACCTGTTATGCGATGACATGTATGATATGCAAATGTTTTCAAGGATCTCGATGGGGAAACAAGAAAAATGTTAGGTGTTGAACTTTACAGCTTTGATTGAAGCACTTCATATCGTTGAAGATCCTTCTACAAGAATCAAGCTCACCATATCGAGTGGATCATAGCCCCTGACTCAAGTTGTTGAGTTTTGATCTTCTGACGACATTGGCTAGAGGAAAATAAATCCCTTTTCCCCTTGCTAGACGTCTAATTTATCATAACCTGCATCACAAACCCTTGAGATCTTTGAAATGGTTAAGGAAATGTTGTGGCATGATGTTATGATGTGTATGCTATGCGTTAAGCAAAAGTGTAAGGTGGTGAAAACAAGTTAACCCTGCAAGAAATCCAAGTTATTGGATAATGACTGTAAACAAATCCTGCAAGGAAATCATGTCGTCAGATAATAAAACCATGCAAGTAGTTCAAGTTGAAAGCAAACAAGTCACACAAACATCCTTAGGTTTAGGCTTGCATGGGTTTTAAGGTAGTACCCTCTTGAAGTTGGATTGGTTCAACCTGTCCTATAATAGTAATCGGGTTCTAAGGAATCTCAATATCACCGATCTTTCCCTCCAAATTTCGTTCCGATAGACAATTAACTTGCCACCAAAAAAAACTCAAGAGTCAAACCTCAATGAGTGTAGCATCGAGTATCAACCGACTTTGGGTTTACACCAAATACGAATATCTCACTACGTCCTAAAAAGCCAAGTTGGTCAATTAAGGTGCTAAGGTCAGTTGACGTTTTATGATACCACGCAGCGGCCCCATATTCTCCTTGATTACTCAAGGGCTACCGGTACACACCAAAGTATCACATCAACGTAGCTACTATTTCAACCGTGTCGGTATACCCTGCACAACTCCCTCACAGTTTATTGCTACTTACCTAAAAGGAATTCCCCGATCCGGGTTTAGGATCCAAACAACCCAAACAGATACCCTTAAAAGTAAATCAAATAAGACAAGCCAAAGAAGCAATTAAAATGACCTAGATCCTAAGGTAAACCCCACTTTATAAATTATGTCCCCAGCAGAGTCACCAGTTCTATGATACGGTGGCAGAACCGACTGTTAATACTGGTTTTGCATTTGCATTCGCAAATGTGTGGTAAGCAAGAGTCGCCACTGACTTTTCTTTTATCCAACAAAGGAAAGGGTGAAAAGAACAGAAAAATACCTTTTCGAGATTTTCTGAGTAAGGGGGTAGATTATGGAAAAGGAAGTTATTAGCACCCTTTCCATCCGTGGTTTTCCACGGGCTCTTAGGTACTTGCTCATTTTTGAAAACTGTTTGTGTTTGTGTGTTTGGAAAGTTTTTGTTTGCTTTATGGTAACTCTCGTATCAGTCCTCGAGAGTGTGATAAAGCGTTTTTGAAAAGTGTGTAAGTGTGAAAAAGGATTTGGTTTTGAGTAAGTACTTAAGAACCATCTACCTACTCGAAAAAGGACATTCTTTTCCTCCTTTCCTTTAGATAGTGCTATCCTACTATTAGTGAGTAGGTAGCCCTATCGTTGGAAGTTGAAGGACTATTGAAAGGGATGCTATGGTCATTGAAGGCAACATGTAAGGATACCTTATCATTTTGAAGGGACTGTCATCATATAGGCAACATCGAGGGGACAAGATCATTTACCAAAAGGAAACTCGAGGGACATTTAGGGACCATGATCTTTTATGATGACGTTTATACCGAGGGTCTTTGCTAAGATATCCCTACGTTCGAGGGACATGACCATTTCCGAGGCAACCGAGTGAGGAATAACCAAAGGGTGAATATGTCCGAGTGTATTTGATTTCAGATATATTAGTCTTTGT